CGGACGTGACGTCGTGGTAACGGCGGCGGCACGGGGCTGTGGAAATTATCCATCATCGAGTACGCGTCGTGCTCGACGGACTTGTGATCGAGGCCCTCGAGGTGATCGAGACGCAAGAGCTCGGCCTCCCGCGGCGAGTGGAGCTCACAGTGGGCTACGTGGAGCAACGGCCTCAGGGAAGAACCGCCTTCGCATCGTTGCTGCCGCGAAGGCGGCCTCGCCACCTGCCTGTCTAGACCATCCGCAGCGTGGTGTTCGTCGCCCCAGACCTCAAACTCACTCGCCGCCGAGTAATCGCCGAATCCGCCGTTGCCCTTCACCGTTGCGCACTTGCTGGTACCCTCAAGGGCGAGCCTGGGGCAGGAGGAGCTGCCCCTGCTACCCCGTTCGCGCTCTACGGCGCTCTCGCGTAGCTTCTCCTCTTTCCGCCGATACTTGACGAGGTACTCCTTGGTCGGCAACGAGAACGACAGGCTGCCGCGACGGTTGGATCGCCGGGGTGTCAGATTTCCGCCGGACGCCGCACGTTCGGCATCCAAAGCGGCCCCGCTGGCGAGGCTGGCGCTGCTGGGCCTTCTTGGCGCGCGGCTCTTCGTCTACTCCTACGGTCGCATGTCACACGTCGTTCAGCTCGCAAGGCGCCGTTGACACACACACAGAGAGAGAGAGAGAGAGAAAGACAGAGAGAGAGAGAGAGAGAGAGAGACAAAGAGAGAGAGAGAGAGAGATGTATGTGCGTGTTTGTGCGTGTGTTGCGTCCTCGAGCTTTTACGTTTAATCGAACCTCCGCGCTACAGTCGCGTTCACCGGGTTCATTGACCCCGAACGTTCACAGGTGAGCGCTTTCGCGGGCTTGGCTCCGCAGGGACGCACGGCTCAGGACGCACGGGCGCGGGAGTCGGTTAGCGTTAGGCACATTCCGCGCCCGTTGAAGACGAGGAAGAGAGAAGGAGGCCGCCGTTGCCGACGACGACGACGACGACGAGGACGACGACGAGGACGACGACGAGGACGACGAGAGAGCGGTGAGGAGAGAATGAGGAGAGAAGGAGGAGACCAAGTGGATGGAGGAGAAGGTGGAGTGCAAGAAGGGCGCTGCAGACTCCGCGCTACCGCTCGCGCGGCCGGCAGCCACGACACGGGGGGGAAACTAGCGTACGCAAACTTTGTTATCGATCTGTCAACGCCAGCGAGAAAGTTCAACTTCCGCCCGCGAGCGATGTTCGACACGGCGATTCAGCGTGCCGCTCCGCGAACGAGGAACCACCCGGGTTTTCCTTTTCCACGCCGACGGCGACGACGGCGACGACGACGACGGCGGCGGCGGCGGCGGCGGTGATGCTGGCCCGCTCCACGACGTCGTCCTTTCGTCCTTTCTCTTCGGGAACGGTGCGCGATGTTCCCGCGATCGCTGCCGGCAGCCCGTGAGGGAAATAATCGCGCGCTCGCTCGCCAGCACTGCGGAGGCGGCCCCGGAGAAACCGAAGAGGCAAACACCACTGTATCGACCGGCTCGCGTACTTTCACCACCTGTCACTTCTCTGCCAAAGGCCAACAACACCAAGGGAGCAGCAGACGGCGCGGAGCTGCTCGGAGAAGCGAAGGATCGTCGAGTCGAATGGCTGACGGCGACCAATTGACTCGCCGCTGGACGACCAGCGGATTCCGACGCGTGGCCGCCGACGAGCAGCTTCAGGCTGAGAAAGAAGACAGAGGCGCACACACACATACACACATGCACACACAGAACACACACACACACACACACACACGAACGGACGCACACCAGCGGCAGGGAGACAGCACGTTCGCACAGTTCACGTTGGAGAATTCAATCTGCACCCCTTTGTCGAAGGCACCTTCCGAGTCGTCTCGGTTCGTTCGGCTGACGCTCGCTCGCAGATATCCTCCCTCCCTCCCTCCCTCTCTCTCTCTCTCTCTCTCTTCCTCGCTCTTAGTCGCGAGCGCTGTCGCTGCTCGACTGTGCGAAAACTAATTGGGTCAGCGGACCGAGAACCCGCACACGCAAATCCTGCGCTGCTGCGGAGAGAGCGTGCACGGAGTAGCCCCGAAAATCCCCGGGCTTCAACGCGGAAACTACGAGGACGCGCGTCGAGGGGATGACGAAGTGTCGTCGGGGGAGGCCTGGACGTCGCTCCGTATCCGGAAGCTCCCGCAGCCGCGGAGCGCGAGAGCGGCAATGCCGCGAGAGAGGCTGTGCAGGGGTGTCCTCGCGGCTTCTTTCCGCCAACTTTCCACTACCCCGTCGATCTTCCCCAGCTGCTGCTCCTCCGTCGGAGCTTCAGGCCTCTCGCCGACCTCTACGGACACACCGCTCACCCTGGCCGGACGCGGCAAACGTCAAGAGCGCAGCGTGCCTTCGGCAGTCAACGGTTCGCTGATCGTGGCCACGACGGCGCCCGGTGTGATCCGGCGATTCACAGGTGCGCGGCGACGCTGGCAACTCGCGGAGGGTCGCGCGCGGTCCGGAGATAGCCGTTCCCCGTCACGGGGAGAGAGAGAGAGAGAGAGAGAGAGAGAGAAAGAGAGAGAGTGGCGCGGCCGCGCGGCGGAGTCACGAGGTCTCCTCTCTTCCTCCTGCGCTCGACGGCCTCTCGTTAATCTCTCGACTGATCCCGGGAGAGACACACTGGGACGCGCGCGAGACTGCGAGAGAGCGAGAGAGCGTTTCACAGCACTCGCTCAGGAGAGATGGCGGCGGCGGCGGCGACGGCGACGGCGACGGCGACGGCGGCGGCAGCAGCGGAGTCGGCGAGCGACCGCGGCAGCTGCGAATCAAAGACTGAAGGGGCCACGGCGCTGCAACGCCCGGCACAAAGTGACACTGAACGTCCCCACCACCTCGAGGCCAGATTCGGCGCGCGTGCGCCCACGCATGTCACCGACCCTCCCTTTCTTCGGATCCTCTGCTCCCCCGCGTTTCGGAGTCGCGACCCTCTCGAGGAAACGCCGCCACGCGGAGGGTGCGGTCACTACTCGGATCGTCGCACGTCGCCGCCGTCGTGCTTGCCCGTCCTCGCGCGCGCTCTCCTCCGTGTGTCTTACACGCGCGAGGGTCGCACGCGCCAGGGTGCCTTGGCGAATCTACCCCTTTCCGGGCTGACGCGTCAAAGAGGAGGAAAAAGAGCAGCGCACCTTCAGACCCTCCGCCCCGACGTGTTTGCAGATTTTCGTGCGCGCCTCTCTTCTTACGCGCAGCTCTTTCATCCCCGTGTTGTTGTTGCTCTTGTAGCGTCTGTTGGTATTATCTTCATCTCGAGTGGAGAACGCGACTGGATTGGATTAGGGATTACGGCTGCGATTAGGGTGAAACGCTCAAAGGACGGTTTCTTCCCTTTTTTCCGTGTCGTGCGTAAATTCTCCCCAATTTAATATTGTTAAACACTCTCGTATGTAAGGAGAGTGACGAAAAATCTCGACTGGAAGATATCGATCCTGCCGGCGCGGGAGCACGCGACTCTCTCGCAAGAGAGCCTCTAACGCGCCCGAGCAAGAAGGGGTAGAGAACGGGGGTGTGCATTTGAAACTGAGATTTAACGGCGACGAGACGTGCGTTCGGCTTGCACTCGGCAGCTTTTGGACAAACGAATGCCGGAGCAGCAGACAAGAGAGCAGACGCTGCTACGGCGGAGGGGAAGGGGGGAGGGATACGTAACGTCATTCGCATTTGGCGTTTTTAAACATATACGAGCGCCGAAGTGCCGGCAAAGGGGAAAAGCCGCGCTTTTTAAGGACACGCGCGCGCTACGTGCTAGATTTAATTTGGTATCGCCGCGTCTCGTTCTGCCGCGCTGCGAGTACAACTTTTCGAGACACTATGTACACGCGGCCGCAAACACACGTAACAGACGCGTGCGCACGTGTAATGCCACCCTTGCCGCAGCCGGACGGCGCAACGTCGACGAGAGAAATGGCAGTGCGCGTGCGTCGCGCCGCCGGTGAACGTACAGACGGGGCGAAAAAGCGTAACAGCGAGGGATGAGGGAGAGGGAACGAGGAATATATATATATATATAGAGAGAGAGAGAGACAGAGGGGGGGGGAAGGAGAGGAGCACACGGTGGTGGGTCTCGTGGACATTGAACACTTGTATTTTTGATTCGGGGTGAAAGATCGCGCGCGCAACCGCGACCTCGCTGATCTCTCGCTGATCTTGCTGATTTCATCTGCGTTCTCAGCTTAGCCGCTCCCGTTCGCAACGCGGCCTCTTCTCGTCCGTCGATTTTTCCGCGGAGCGAGCCCGAGTGTGTACAGTCCGTCTTCGCTCGAAATTATTACAGCGCGTGCTGACGGTGAGAGAGATACGTCGGCCGATCGATCATTTATCGCGCGGAGACTCGCGGAGATCGCCCGCGCCGGGGCGCCTCTCTAAGCGCTCGACACCACTTTGTTTTCTCCTTCTCTCTCTCTCTCTCTCTCTCTCTCTCTTACACGCACACAAGGGTCGCGAGGGCGATCGGAAGGAAGTTTAATTATCTCTTCGGCGCGTCACGTCGCGGTCGTTGATACTCGCTCGCGCTTGCGCGCGCGTGTACGTATGCACTCACCCCCTCACACACATACACACAAACGCGTCCGCTGGTCGTGTCGACTCCTGGCAGGCAGAAAGGAAGGAAGGAAGGAAGGAAGGAAGGAAGATGGATGTGTGGAGAAGTTGTCTTATCCTCCGCGCATCCGCCAAAATCCACCGCGGCAGCCTACAACGTTTACCCTTTTAACGGGGGATGCTGGCGGCGGCGGCGGCGGCGGGGAGGCGACAGTGCCGCCACCGCCACCGCCACCGCCTCCACCGCCACTCATAGCGTTCGCTATTCTTCGGTGCTCTAAACTACCGCCTGGAACTCTGGAACTCCAGCCTGGAACGCATCGTGTGTACGTGTATATGCGGGTGGATGGAACACGACCGCGTATGACCTCCGGGGGGTATGACGGCGGAAGGGCACGAGGGTGGGCGAGGGCGAAGAAGAGGGTGGGAGGGAGCGGAGGGGGGAGGGGGAGGACGGGAGAAAATTTGCGACAGGCTCTTTGATGTCGCTTAAACAGAAAACGCCACCTCTCCCCATCCCCTGCGCGCGCGCCTCCCGCAACCCCTGCCGCGTCGTGGCGCGCGCGCGGCGTAGTAGGACCTTCCCTCCTTCTCTCTCCTTCGTATCCTGTACTTTCCCCTGCTGTCCTTCCAGCACCTTCGTAAAACGTCCGACGTCTTTGAATTCCTCCCGACCCTCCTCCTATCTTCATTCTCCCGTCGCGCGCTCTTATCGTGCATCTCCTTAGTTCTTTAGTCCTGGTCGTTTTGTGACGCGCGCTGCCTGCCCGCCCGCCCGCCTGCCGACGACGACGTCGACGACGACGACGTCGACGACGACGACGTCGACGACCAAGACGACGATGGAGATATCGCCTGCCCTTCTCCGTGCCATAAGCACTCATTTGTTCTCCTTATCTCCTCGATAGTCACTTCTCCGCCTTTGGGACGACGACCTGTCCGGATGTACGGAGCGTCCCCGGCTTTCTTCCCGTCCCTTGCTCGCGGATGACTCCGGAGGACGATCCACATTGTGCAGGCGGCCTTAACTGACGGTAGTGAAATAAGGGAATAAATTGAAAATGAGAGCCATTTCCCAAGGTCATTTCGGAGCCGTCGCGAATTCTTCAGAAATTTTAGTCGCGTCAAGACGCGCGTGCGTTTGCCCTCTCTCTCTCTCTCTCTCTCCCTCCCTCTTTCCTGTTCTTGTCTTTGATGTGTAATTCCCGTGATATTGTCGTTTCGGAGCAGGCGGGTGCGATTCCCTCGGTGTGTTATGGATTCTCATGCGGCTCTCCAGTTGGTTCTCGCGATTTTATCGCAGAGGCGCAGGGCGCTCCGCAAATAATATCGCGCATGAGGTAATCAGCGCAGGCGGGCAGGCTAGATTATTGTTATTCCACCTGATATATTTATTCCGCGCGATATCATAAATTCCCGCTCGTTTGACGAGTAATTTGCTCGCGAGTTTTAATTGAATTCAGAGTCTCTTTTTATTTCCGCCCGGCAAGCGCGATCCCGCGAATGATCCGGCGGTGTAAATTTCCTCGAGGTTGTTGGCCCAATTTTCGAGCGATCCTCCCGGGGGGGCTTCGAACAATTCAGCAGGAGGCAATCCACGCGGACACGCGGAGGGAGGACGCGTTGTGCCGCGTAGCGCGCGGCTCGAATCTTTCCTCACGTTTCCGAGACGGCCGCAGCCGGCGTCCCATGTGAATGCACTTTTGCATAATTAATAGCACTTCGTTATTCCATTGATGCGTCCATGCGATACTCGCTGTAAGGATCGTTATAATGTGCCCCAGTTTCGCCGTTTATGTACCGTGCAGATTATCGCGCGTGCATACGTCGGATTACGTTGCGTGTGCGTTTCCGCGGCCGCACACGCGTAGCGTCGACGCTAACCTTCAATGAACAACCCACTTGTCTTGCCGCTTGTAATCCGCCGTGCGGTAAATCGAGCGGCAAAAAGTGCACGCGCGAGCGCAAGCGGTCGCCGAGAGAGAGAGAGAGAGAGAGAGAGAGAGAGAGAGAGAGAGAGAGGAGAGAGAAAGGCGCCGCCGGCTGAGGAGAATGGCAACATCTGCAGAAAAATGTCATAGTTGCCGCGGAAGGTGTAACCGCGACGTCTCGGCGCGCGTTTCAATTGACAGTGACGGAACGCAATCGGCGGTTCACCTCGCGGCGGCCATCCGGTATCGAGCGATTCGACCTATGTGCGAACGTCAGGGTGCTGCCGATCGAGAAGAAAGAGAAAGATAGACCGGGCAAGGGCGAGGGGAGAGCGAGGGTGAAAGGCTGGGCGAGGTGGAGCCCGCGTCGTCATTATCCGAACCAATTTTCTACAACGTACGTTACATCTCGAGTATCCTCAGTGGGATTTACCGTGCTGCAAAGAGAGCCCGAAGATGTTACCGTGCGTACGAGCGTGGCTGGCAAGTGTGCGCGCGCGCGAAAGAGAGAGAGAGAGAGAGAGAGAGAGAGAGAGAGGAGGAGGAGAGAAGGAGAACGGAAGAATGGTCGATTTCATATGAATGCATTCCATGCAAATGCGCCGGCGAAGATAGAGAGCAAGAGAAGAAAAAGTTGCGGCGCGACGAGGGACGAGAGCGAGCGGGGCGAGCGGGGAACGACGATGCGGAGATAATTGGGTGAATACATTTGGGCCTGTGGTGCGCCCGCGGAAATATATTTCTCAGCCTGGGCCTGCTCTCTGTTGCATTATGCACGCGTTTACGTATCTACGTACGTGCGTCGTACACGCCAGAGGAGGACACACAAACGCGCGCGCGTACTTCGGAGCGAAACGAGCTCCGTGCATCGGCTCTGTACGCCGAGTGACTCAGGTAGCTCGTGATTTAAAAAGGGAAACGACAGAGAGGAGATTCCCCGTCGAGGAGCCTCGAGGAGACCTCAACCGTCTCAGGCCGCTCGTCGTTCTCTCTATCGCCCGCTCGCTCGCTCGCTCGCGCTCTCACTCTCTTTCAAGCATTGTCTAGCACTGGCGATTGTTCACTTGCGAGCGGCCGATAGACGAGAGAGGATCGCCGAGTAGTATTCTCGCGCGTCCCGATCGATGCCTTACATCTAGATCTTTCCATACGTCAACGTAAAATGTAGTACGCAGGACTCGTCTGTGTAGCGCGTGAGAGAGAGAGAGAGAGAGAGAGAGAGAGAGAGAAAGAGAGAGAGAGAGAGAGAGAGAGAGAAAAAGAGAGGAGATAGAAAACTGGAATTTGCGGAGGTGACCATCCTCAGCGAAAATGTCAC